TCCTCAATAGGCAATTCACATGTAGATAAGAAAAAAGCAAACATTTGGTAAACAAATTCTTGCAGAGCCACCAAGAAACAATGGGACACAAAGGGGAATTTAACGAACAGATTTTTGCTGGGATCCTCCCAGTTTGCCATACTTAATTCCTAATTCATCAGTCCTTAAGTGATGCCAGGGTTCCCTTCCTGAAGCTGGGTTTTTTATCTGAATCTCTTTAGGCAGGTAAGGGAGAGGTAAAAAAAAAACAAAACACAACACACTTCCTGAGTTTGTTGGGCTGTTTTCAGCTCAAACTAATCTGCATGTGAGTTTGGCACATCCTGGGGAGACTAGCTCCAGAACCCCACAAAATTTTACCTCATTCCTTTGTTCTCTTGTTTTCACTCACACAGAGCATCCTTTATAAAAACATGCAGTAATTTGGGCCGCAGTGATCCAGAACTTGAATGGTTTTAAGTGTTTTTGTTGTTTTCAAATGTCTTTCATGACTTTTTAGCATCTTAGGAGAAAAATCCTGTCTAAATTTTATTTTTCAACCCAAAGTTGCAAGGAATTAAAATCGTTTCAAATGTATTCAGTATTTGGGTCCAAGGAAATAATAAAACAAATATACTTGGTCTTTGTTTAAGGTACACTGTAATGCAAACATAGGCTTATGTATTACAAATTGAGTCACTGGTGTTTTTTTCCCTAGGACAAACTTTATCACTCAAAGTTGTCTGTTAATATTTTCTGCACTTAAAAGAAGTGCAAATAAAAAATAAATAAAAGCAGTGCAGCTGCATTTCTTTTAAAAATAACCTAGCCTTGGCTGGGTAGCTCAGTTGGTTGGAGTGTTGTCCCCATACACCAAGGTAGTGTTAGATCCCCAGTCAGGGCACATACAACAATCAGTCAATGAATGCATAAATAAGAGGAACAAGTCGATGCTTCTCTTTCTGACCCTTCCTCTCTAAAATCAAGAATTAAAAAATAACCTGTATCAGAGATTGCTTTCTAAATCCTTCTGTTATTAGAAGTTTTTATTTCATTCACTAGCACTGATATATATCCTTCATGGTTCACAATGGGGAACCCTACCCTGGTTCAGACCTGACTACAAACTTGGAGGTGGGGGGAAGGGGCAAGGAAGCAGGTAACCCACCCCCCTTTCCCACCATTACTAAGCTCCAAAAACAAGACCTCATTTCAAAACATGAAAACGCAGACAAAACCCCACTTCATTTCCACACCGAGCTGTTTCCCTCTTTCTGCTTCTCTACTTGCCTCATGAGGGATTTCTGAGAAATGAGAAACGTCACCGCCCACAACCTCAGTCTAGTTGTTTTTTAAAGATGAAAAGGGGACGGTTAATGGAAAGGAAGTGCTTAAGCATCTAGTATTAATCCAAAACTTAAAGTAAGAGAAATGTCTTTCCCATCAGTGGATGTGGGTCCCATCTTGCCTCAGATCTGAGCTTTCAGAGTCTAAGGAAATAAACAAGCTATCCTCCCAGGAAATTTCAGTAACAAGCAGTGAAACCTAACAGCTGCTCCTTGCAGGAGCCCAGCTGTTGCTCCTCCCCCCAACCCTAGCCACCAAGGACAGGAGATGGGTGGGAACTGCTCCAGGCAACCTCAGGAATGGAGGTGGGAGCTGAGAGTGGAATGCAAGAGAGAACTGAGCATAGCTATTGAGGAGTAGAATGCATATGAAAGCGACGGTTCCTAGGGAAACCCCTATCTCCCCTCAAAATCTGGACACCCCAGTCCTACCAGCCTGGTGAGAAAGACAATGAAATGTGTAGCAAAATTTCAAAACCAGTTTTCTACTAGACAAGAAATTTTTTTTTAAAATCTTTGTTTAAAGTATTATAGATGTCTTTTTTCCCATTGCCCCCCTCCCCCGTGAGAAAATTAACTTTTTAGGGGCACAGAATTGTTTTCTTAATCAAAATAAAGTGGAAAACTCATCTAAACCAGGATGAAACCCAACAGTTAAACATTCTTTTCCTTGTCCGCGTCCTTGGCTCTTTCCCAGCACACCTTGTCCCAAGCTAACTTGAATAAACATACACATGTGACCACATGAGGGCGGGAAGACCAAATGGGGGTGGTAAAATTCTGAATGGAATGCAGCTCCAGCTAGTTAGGGGCCCGGCTGAGACCTCTTGGCACTGGCTGTGGATTTATACCGGCAGAGAAGCCAAAACAATGAGCTCATAGGCAAGAATGCAGCCTGTGGGGAAGTCTCGGCAGTCAGAGCAAACTGGTTTTTTCAACCAGGATGGGAATAGCTGTGGGAGAGTCTCCCACGGGAACAAGAGCAGGGAGTGTAAAGCCACCATTCAGTATCTGGGGGTCCAGTTAAGTAACTATGGGTGGCAGTTCCTTCCTCAGTCCTATATTCAAAATGGTTCCTTTCCATGGTTAGTGAGATGTGTGAGTGAGCTATCCCAGGTGATGCTCTTAAGACTTTATTCAAAGCAGGTCTGCCAGAGCCAACTCCTGCACTCAAGATCCTAGAATTGTGTGTTCAGGGCCACCATTTTAATATGACAGAAAAAACAATGAAGTCCATCTTTACTTCTCAAGTAAATACAATGCACCCAGTTGTGTCATTTGCACCAAATTGAGACCTCTAAGACCAAAAAGACATCTTTTATTTTTCTACCAGTATTTTCCAATATTTTTATATAAGGCCCCAAATGGAAGAAACTGAAGAGATAATATATTCACTGGTCATGTATGGTGAAGGGGAAGGAAGGTAGGGAGGAAAGATCAAATGATGAGAAAAAAATTATCTACAAATCTCTCCCCCTACAGCTGTAGAGGTTCTTTCCCAACTCCATGCTTTTCTGCATGTTTTTTCCACGCATTAAGGTCTAACCTCAAATGTTTTTGAAGCTTTCTTGACCACCTTCTGCTTCCAGAAGTTGTCACCCTGTGTCCCACCTTATTCTTATAATACCTTTACTATAGCACTTTGTGCACTGTATTCTAATTATTTTTGTCCATGGTTATCCTACTAGACTGTGAGCTTTAATATTCTGCCACAATTGCTTTCTCATTCTGTGGTTTAGCTCTGCATCAATTTTTCAAGATGTTATCTCCTAAAAACAAATACATTCCCTTACCTAACCATGCCATATAACACACTCTGAAATTTAACATTGAAGCAGTACTAACATACTGCCCATATTAAAATTTCCCTAATGGTCTCCATGTCCTTCATAGCTTTTTATTCATTCAGATCACCCTGCATTTAGTTGTCACATTTTTGACTGTTCCATATCTCTTTTGACTGCGTTTCTTAAGGGAAAGAATTTATCCTTTTATAATTCCTGCATCCAGTAGTGCATGGTACATAGCAAGCAGTCCACTGCCATGTAATGGATTGAGACTCAACATCTGACTGCCTACAGCTCATTAAATGTTCCAGCTCATTGCAAGTGTTGAAGAATTTTTAATAAACTAAGGTAATCCCTGAACAGGGAATGAGGAGAGAAGGCAAATGGCAGAAACAAGCTATGGAAATAGTTATTTGGAAGGGGTAAAATCCACAATATTCTCGGCCCTAGCACACTTCTCAACAGTTAGGAACTATTATTTTATGCAGGTAAGGAACAGAACTGTAAGAGAAACCAGGTATAGAGTGGTAACAAAAGCTTGCCTTTTTTTTTTTTTTTAAACTTAAGAATCTTTAGTAAAGAACACTTAATTCTCAGAAAGGTCTGCTAAATCAGCCTAGAGGCAGATTCCCAACCCCCATATTTCCACATGCTTCACATAACTAAGATAACACTGTAACTTTGAAACAAAGAGGGGCCAAGTTTCCAAATCTTGAAATCCAGAAACCTTTTAACAGTGTGGGAGGGTTCAAGACCAAGTTCTGTAATCTCTGAACAAGAAGAGTTTAAGAGAAATAGGATAAATTAAGGGAGACTCAACTGATCATCCTGAACCCCAGGAATTAATGGCCTATGCTTTGGGAATCTGGCTGGAATACACCAGTTATACATACAAGTTACTGCACTTTAATTTTTGTAAAATTCTCAACCTGTCAATTTCTTTAAAAAATAACAAAAACTTTCTGAAACAGTAAGAGGCAAGAGCTGGTTCTAGTCACAAGACAGGAACTGAAAGAAAGTCTGGTTGTATCAAATGAAGGGAAGTGTTGATTATTTCGACTTGCTCAGTGACTCATGTTACCTGGTTACCCAAGTTTTTTAGGCGTTCTGCTAAGGAATAGCGCCACAGAAATGGCTTCACATCAGAGCTATCAGTGAGAGCAATAGTACTGCTTAGAACGAGGGCCAGTTTGGGCCCTTGTGTCCTGTTACACTCTCCCCTCTACCTCTGCTTGGGTGTGCACTTATACAAAAACCCCTTTCTTTATAATAAAATGTTGCTGTCTCTGGTAGTTATGGGGGAACAGAATCCTGTTTGCACATTAGCATTTAGTGCTCAGGGCTTAAAACCAATATGCAAACCTCCTATTTGCACATTTCCATGGTGACTCTAAGGTAGCAGAAAATACAGAATACAGTTCCTAAAACTGACTTGCTTATTCTCATCTCTTGGCAGAGGAAAGGGGAAAAGTTCTGAAACATTAGTACCAAGGACCTTATTAAAACCCTTAACTTTGGGAGTTCTTTTAGCTCCTTCAACTCAAAAAGTTGAGATGGGGAGATTGAACCCTTACTTCAAAATTGTACCACCATGTGATGACTAAAAGAAAAAATCAGGACAGAGATTATGATTTTTGCATCAAAATGTACAGGAACTAGTCAAGTACAGCAGTAATACATTTAATTAAAAACACATCACTTCTAATTTGAATGAAAGGAATTATTCTGAAGGGAACCGTCCTTTGCTCTAAGGCAAATTAGTTTTATGGAGCTGCTTTTGCTTGTTAATTCACCTATACTTATTTGCTCAGCTGACTTCCCTAAAAGGCTTGCCTAAGAGGGGGAAGGAAGACAGGCAACGATTAGAAAACACCCATACCACACCTTGTATTTGAATAAAGATTTATTATTTTCTTCTCAGGAAAAACAGGAAGTTAGGGAAACACACTACATTTACGGCCCACATTAATTTGTAGTTGGTCCTAACCCCAATGGCACAGCTGTCAAAAATGTTAGCTGTGTTAACTAGAACCAAGGTGCCCACCCCAGATAAAATGTTACATGGACAACACTAGAGGGCTGAAGGTTTTTCCCTGAGAGAAGCCTAAGACAGAAGTTGCTGAGACAGCCATCTTTCCAAGCATTCCCTCCTTTTCCATTTGGGAGGAATCTGCCTGATGTAGCTAGTCAGCACTTAGAACAAGTGCCTCCTCTCCCTATAAAACCACTCACCCTTTTCCCCAAAGCACTTGGGCTCCCTAAGCCCTCACAGCCTGACCCAAAATATTAACTAAGATCCTCACCATTTCAGCAGTCACACCTAGTAAATTGGGAAGCAAGGCCCTTTGCATCTATGCACTCATTTTCACAACTGGATATGGGGAGACAGGCCTTTTAGTCACCTTAACCAGATCTTAAGTTTAATTAAAAACTACATAAAGTGCTTTTAGGTCCTTAGAGACAGACTTGATATAAATAAGTGGTTTATGATCAAGAATGATAAATACATAGGTAAAAATAGTTCTATAGCTAGATGACCTTATGGCTCGGAGATGGGGAGAGGCAGGGCATTCTTCCATATTACATTCTTAGTCATTTTATTCATGCCTATTTCTTATCTAGAGTCCAGATACTAAAGATCATGTTCTGAGGCTGAAGCTTTAATTGACCCTAGTTCCAACACAGCTTTCTTCAGCTTAACTAGTAGCCTTTATAGCACACTGTACCCAGCTCTATAATTTTAAGTGAGCATATTTAAATTCAAAGGAACCTAGAGGAAGCCATGTAAGATATACTCCCCTCTAGAAAATTTTAAGGGAACTTTTGAAACTTTCCCCGCAAAGGTAAGAAAAGCAAAAACCAAAACGGTACCAGTCCAAGGAAAAGGGACTCCTCCCATCCACCTCATAACTATGACTGTTACTGTCACAGAACCCATTGTACTATCAAGGACAAAACTCATGAAGGATACAGGTTTATGGACTCCTATAAGGGTGGTTACTTAGGTTCCTAGTGCCCAAAACTAAATAGGCTAGAGTTCAGGGATGGCAGGGTAAAGATGTAGGAATTGATCTAAATTATCTGTAGAAGGAGCAGAACAAGCAGCAAATATTTCGAAGGAAAAATAGGAAACAAATGGTAAGGTCAATAGAACAAGTCTGAAATCTGAAGAGATGCCAATGCAAAATTTAACAAAGTTTGGGAATCACTAATAGAAAAGAAACAATTAAGTATTTGCTTTATTGACATACTAGGCTTAGACCTGTGTTTAACAAGCCAGCCTGAAATAGCACCATGGTTAGACTATTGCCTGCTTTTCAAAGTCATCATTTTACAACTTATTAAGCAAACAAGGGATCAAATGGCTCTCTCATCCACCTGATGTGATCTTTTTATACACATACTGCTAGTAAGTCCCATTTGGAACAGCTGAAAATCTTTTTAAAAGCTTTGCAGATGAGCTCATGAACACAAATTTCACAAGTTAGGTCAAACAGAAGGAACTCAAAACAAGTTGTTGCCCAATCAGAGCTCATTATTTGTAAATCATCGGCCTGCTCCCCCCCCCCAAAACCTTAAAAAAAAAAAGACACCTTGACTCAATTATTGAAAATTCACCTGTAACAAAGTGAAACGATTAATTTCCATTACTCAAGTTCTCAGCCCAGGTTTAAAAAAAAAAAAAAAAAAAGCCCTGTAAGGAATACTTACCAAATTCAGATAGGAAAATTACAGTTATGAATCAGAATTGTTCCACCACAACCAGGTTGCATACAATTACATCAAATGGTTCTGTATACCATCTAGAATTGACCAGGACAAGGTTTAGAATAGAAAAGCTGTAAGAAATAGGTTACTAACTACAGAAGTTTTAAATTTCAAAAGGGTATGAAAAAACTGAGATCCAAGCCTTCTTTTACATTTCAAAGAAATAGATTTTCTGTAAAAATATATACAATTTTTACAGACAAATACATTTACAGGTTGTTTTTATCTTAAAAAGTGAGGACATTCCATATGTCTAACTACAATTATTGAGCCTTAAGTCAAGTATTCTTGGCCATTACAAGGCTAATAAACTAAACCAAGCCAAAGTAGAACAGGTATAAAGTCCTGAGCACTTGGACTTTCTATTCAAGAAGCATACCTGGGAAAGCTAATTATACAGAGGAAAAAGCTTCCCTTCACACTGTTGTACAGTACTGAGGCTTCTAGTCATAGTTCTATTGTAGCTTAAATCCACTTTACACAGTTCACTGGCATTGTTAGTGCTTCTCTTTTAACACTATAGAAAGCTAATGAATTCAGTGGGCATATTTAATGAACTGTAGATGACTAGCCTGGCTACTGGCCCCTCTTCTGTTCTAAGACAAGGGTATCAAGTCTCTCCACCCTACCATTTTCACTAAATCTAAAAGTCCTCCTCCATGGCCTCCCAAAGTTTGCCTGTTGGCTAAAACAGCTCTGCTTCTTTCAGCGACTTGCCATAATCCTCTTGCCACTTGCTTTTCCGTGTTGCTCGTAGGTTATAGCCTGGACAGCTTGAAGTCCAACTTCATAAGTACACTGATTTTCACAGCAGATGGACGTGGCTTTGGTGCCTGGAGTTGGTTAAGAGTCAATTATTTCACTTAAAAGGCTATCTTATTAAATATGCCAAACCAGCTCCTACTCCAGCAACACCTGCAAAAGCCAGCAGCACATTTCTGATGCCGCCTTCTAGGTCCTCTACGTGGAAGAACTCCACAAACCCATCCTAGAAAACAAAAAAGAAAAGCACATTTTCAAGTATGGGGGTTTTCCACTTACAAAGATATATTGAAATATCTAAGCCCCACCCCCATGAAACTACGAACCAATTATTTATCTCTCAGCTGCAAAAGAAACACACTTAAAATGGGGGTGTGCACTGAGGAATGTATTTTACTATCCCCAAGTTGGCCGGTAACACGTACTGCTTCATAATTTGAATCCACTGGTGGGGAGTATCCAACTGAATTACAGTAAAATACCAAAAGAAAGAATCAGCATCCAGTAAAATAGCCTACAGGAAACCAGGATTTTTGATGCAACAAATTAAGACAGTAATACCACTATCTCTATGGACTCAACTACTTACATCAACATCAAGCAACCAGAGGTCCATAAGTTAGAGCTAGAAAGCTGAGTTGTGCATCATAAAAACCTTCAGCTACCCCCACTTTCTCTATAAAACCTTCCATTCCATTTCCACTCCAAGACCCCTCTTCGACCTTAAAACAAACTTACCCAGCCTCTTTGTTTGACCAGCCAGTCTCGTTTTGTCCTTACGAGAACATCTGTGATGCTTTCTGCTAATGGTTCAATGCAGCCTTCTTGCTTTATACTCTTCAAGTGTTTGGCCACAAAGGCACCAAAAGATATGAGAGTCACAATCCTGCCCCAGTTTGTTACTCCGTCACTAAAAACATGAACCATTACCCTAGACAAAGATTTGATGTCGTCTTCGTTTTTGATGTCCAGTTTCCGCAGCATACCTGAGGAAGAAAAGCATGCTGGTTCTCACGGCCTCCTTTGTCTAAGCCAGAGCACGATTCGCTGCCCACCCACGGAGAGGGAAATCGCTATTTGGGATCCATAGAACTCAGGCCGACCCCACTTGAAAATTGACATCCCACCCTTTCCGGCCTTTGAACAGAGCTATTTTCAAAAGAATCGAGTGGGCGGAAACAATGACTCATGGTCAGAATATTCTGGTTTCAGAAATAGGAGTCGTTTCGACACTGACTAGGTTTCGGTTTCCACCCACTGTGAGTTCCAGCAAGAGATGACAAAAGATAGTGCAGCCTCCGTGACTAACCCCCTTACCTTGGAAGGCTGTCTCGTGGTTACGCTGCACACCGTCCCCGACCCGCCGAAGGGTCTCTAACGCCTTCCGGCTGGAGGCCGCTGACCCGGCCATTGGCTTCGCGTCCTTGGCGCCGGTCGCCTGCTCCCTAAGGTACCGAGAGATAATCTCCAGCGACTGCCGGAACAACTCGTCCTCCTCCTCCTCCTCTGCTGGGGGCGGCGTCGAGGGCAGAGAGCCACTCGCACCGAGGCCATTACTGGCCTCCTCGACCAGCTCCAGCAAGGGCAGGACAGCCGGCCGCTTCCCGAGAGGCTCCGGCTCGTAACCGTCCAGCTCCTCTTCGGGAGACATGATGGCGTCGGCTGCCGGGACTTCCATCTCTTCAAGCGGGGACGTGTGGCGGGCTGGCGCGAAAAGCCACCTCGTGGGGGTCTCGGTGACGTCGAGGCCCTCGGCGCCAATGGGCGAGGGCCGCGCGACCCTCCTGGCATCCAGCGCGAGAGTGGCCGGGGGTCTCCCGCTGGGGCTTCCGCCAATCACCGTGGCCGCTTCCCCTCCCTCCGCCTCTCGCCGGGCCGTGGCCTCCTTTCCCGCAGGCAGAAGCTGTTCTTCTGAAGGGGAGGCGGCGCCGCCGTCGGCCCCGCTGCCGCCCCCCAACTTGGTCCCTCCGCAGTAGAGGTTGAGTCCGATTACCGCGTTTCTTTTGAGGCCAAACATCTCAAGCCTACGCCGCCTTCGCCAGCTGAGAAAAATAGGAGAGGCCGTAGACCCCTTACTCGAAGGAAGCGGAAGTAAGGAGTGAGAGAGGCGCTCCGACCTCACGGTTTTACGGCCGGTGCTACGCCGCGGCGCCCACTCAACAAAATAGTCTCCATAAAAGGCGAAAGGGGCGGAAGCTTCGGGAGAGTGGCGCACCAGCTGAGCTGCCGGTTGCGAGGGGCGGGGCTAGGTGGGCGGGGCCTTCCGGCTCGGGAAACCCTCGTGACCGGTTACGTAACGGCGGTCCGGGCGGGGGGTCTCGGACTCTTCCTCTGTGCGGGCAGGACCTGCCCGGAAGCCTGCCGCGGCTGCCCTCGATGGTGATTTGCGAGCCCCTGCGGCTGCTTTTGTGCTGGAGGTTTTTTCCGTACCAAAACCTTAACCATGGAATCACTCAGGTTGAAGGAAGGGGATGAGGCAGTTCGGCCCTGGAAGGGGCACAACAGTTTTAGATAATATGGGTAAATGTGGGCCCTGTGGGGCACCTGTAGTTATTTTGCATATCCGCAGTTCTCTACTCTCATACCAACCACGTTTGGAAATGGGAAGTTCCATGGGTTGCTTTATAGAATCATTTACACGTAAGTTGACTAAATGAAATTGCCCCAGCCAAATTGCCTACAAGCTTCTGCCCAGCCCCCATGCTACTCCACGGTATCTGGTGCTATATACAGAGGAACCTTACTCTGTTAGCACCACTTCTGAGACTCTTGATGCCATTTATTTCTGTATCGGTAAGGCACATTTGACTCGAGGGGTAAACCTCTTGAGGACAAGGGTCCAGTTATATGCCACATATGTGAATTAACATTAATTGAAGCAATCTCTTAAAACATCTGTAAAAATAATAGCTAAAATTCAAGGGCAAGGTGTTTGAGGAACATCAGCAGGAAAGGTGAGCAAAGGTCCTATTCCCCAAAATATCAGTTTAATAAGGAGATAGGGTGCCCATACCACACAATTGTATTTGGGCAGGACCTAGAACCATGAGGGAATTACATATAATAGGTGGCAGAGAGGATGGAGAGAAACATCCTGTGATTGTGGGAAGAAATGTTTTTTCTATTTAAGGAACTTGTAACCTTGCACAGAAACTAACCATAATGTGAAATGGAATATATGCTTTATAGGAGGCATGAACAACTTCATATTGGAGTTGAGATTGAAAAATTAACTTTGGGCTAGGGGAACTACAGGAAAATCTTACGGAAGAGGTAGTAGCTTTTCTGCTAGGCTTTCTAGAATACAGCTTTATCAGATAGTCAAAGGGAGGGAGATTGAGGAAATAACAAATGCAAAAGCTGTTTTTTTCCCAGAGGCTGAAAAAGGAAATGCATTGCAAGTTTCATTAAGTCATGGCTCAAGTGCTCAGCAAGACTATTGCATTTCCTTAGTCAATTCACTCTCTCATTGCAACCTCTTTTGTCCTTAAACTTCCAGTATTCCCCCTTCCCTTCCTCAATCTCAGCTGCTGTTAACTTCTTTTACTGAGAAAATTGAAGCAATCAGAAGAAAAACGTGTCATTTCTCACCACCAGATCTGCTAATTTACTCATTCCCATTCTGCCTGCCTTTCCTATGGTTAAAATGAATGAACCTTACCCTGCTATCTCAGATCAACCTCTTCACTTGTGCATTGGATCCTATCTCCTTTGCCAACTCAAGTACTTGCAGTTATCCCTTTATATTCTTGCATCATCAATTTCTCTATTGATCCATTCCCATCAGCATACAAATTTAATGTTCTCACATCTGTAAAAAGGCTTCCTAGAACCTAAATTATCTTATGCTCCTTTATAGTAAAAATCTTCAACCTCCTTACCCCTTCTCCCCTCTTGAACCCACCCCAATCAAACTTTCATTCCCACCACTCTACTAAAACTATCCTTGTCAACGTCATCAGTGGCCAAGTTACAGTGGTCAAATTTGCAGTCCTCATTTTAGTTGACCCTTTGGCAGTATTTGATGTGGTTGATCATTCCCTTCTTGAAACTCTTTTTTATTTCAGAGAGAGGAAGGGAAAGGGAGAGAGAGATAGAAACATCAATGATGAGAGAGTCATTGATTGGCTGCCTCTTGCACACCCCCTGCTGGAGATCAAGCCCACAACCCTGGGCATGTGCCCTGACCGGAATCGAACCTCGATCTCCTGGGTCATAGGCCGATGCTCAACAGCTGAGCCATTGTGGCCAGGCTGTTTCTTTCTTTTGGTTTTTTTGTGGGTCCCCCCCATATTCCAGTTTGGGGAGGCTTTCCACTCTGCTGCTAGAAATTTCCAGAATTGCTCTGGCTGGGTAGCACACTTGGATAGAGCATCATCCCAATACCCCAAGGTTGCAGGTTCAACCCTCTGTCAGGGCACATACAAGAATCAACCAATGAATGCATAAATAAGTGGAACAACGAATTGATGTTTCTCTCTCTCTCTCAAAAGAAAAAGGAAAAAAAAGATGTGATATTAGTAGGGATAGACAAGTGAATCAATGTAACAGAATAGAAAGCTCACAAGTAGACATGTATATGGAAAATTGATAACAAGCAGCATTTCAGATCGGTAGGGAAAAGATGGGTTGCTCAGTACATGGAGCTAAGACAACTGAATAGTTACATGAAAAAATAAAACTGGGTCTCTACCTCATACCATATATATAAAATAAATTTGGTGATTAAAATCTTCAAAGATTAAATATGAGAATATTTTACAAACTCAGAGTAGGAAAGAGTTATTAAACAACATATGAAAGGCAGTAACCATAGAAGAAAAAAATTGACAAATATGACATTAGAATGAAGACATGTTTTGTGCCAAAATTAGACTTCTGAGCAAAATGCATAAGCACACAGAGGAGTGAGCAATTAATTCTACCTTGGGAGAAAGTAATTTTGAGGTAGGTATTGAACTGTGTGTGAGTGTTCAAGGCAAAACATTCTAAGCAGAGAGAAGAGCATGTGCAAAGATTCAGAACCAAAACAGTGTGGTGTAATGAAGGACCCACCAGTGGTGAAGTATACTGTAGAGAGGAGCTGCATGAGAAAACAGGCTTTCAAATCAAATCCACCCAGCCCTACCACTTACCAGTTCAGTGACCTTGGGCATAGGATTTAGTTTCTGATTATGTTTGCTCACCTGTAAAGTGAGATTAGTCCTACCTTATGAAGTTGTAAGGATCTAAGCAGTTTTCTAAGTGGGGTACACAGACTCCTAGAGTCCCCAAAACCTTTTTGGGGGTCCATGATTATTTTCACAATACTAGATGTTATTTGCCTTTTTCTTTGATCATGCAAAAGCAATGGGGGTAAAACTGCTGATACCTTAGCACATATCAAGATAGTGGTACCAAACTGTACTAGTAGTCATTGTATTCTTCAGTGCCGCACACTTGCAATGAAAAACATGGGCAGTTTCATTTAAGAATGACCTTGATGAAGCAGTAAAAGTTGTTAATTTTATTAAACCTCAGTTCTTTTTTTTTAAAAAAAATATCTTTATTGATTTCAGAGAAGAAGGAGAGGGAGAGAGAAATAGAAACATCAATGATGAGAGAGTCGTCATTTGATCGGCTGCCTCCTGCACAACCCCAGCTGGGGATCGAGCCTTCAACCCAGGTGTGTGCCCTGACCGGGAATCAAACCGTGATCTCCTGGATCCTAGGTTAATGCTCAACCGCTGAGCCATGCTCAGCCAGGCAAACCTTGGTTCTTGAGTGCATGGCTTTTACTATTCTGTCTGACAAAATGAGAAGTACACACAAAGCACTTTTGCTTTATATCAAAGTATGACAACTGTCTTCAGGTAAAGCACTTGTGCAAATATTTGAATTGTGAGCTGCATTTGCTGCTACTTTTAAAAATGAAATCACCCTTTTAACTTGAAAGAAGACAAATTATGGTTATTTATACTTTTTTGGCATTTTCTCAAAAATGAACAAAGTGTGCCCTGGCTGGTGTGTCTCAGTTGGCTGCGTGTCATCCCATGCTCCAAGAGGTTGCTGGTTTGATTCCTGGTCAGGGCACATGTCTGGGTTACAGGCTCAATCCCCAGTAGGGGGCCTGCAGGAGGCAGCCAATCAATGTTTCTCTCTCATCAATGTTTCTGTCTCTCTCTCCCTTTCCCTTCCTCTCTCCCTAAAAATCAATAAAAACATACACACACACACACACACACACACACACACACATTTCTGTTCATGGTGCCTCATTTCCTGTTGCCTTCTGTTTTAGGGGTTTGGTGAACTATTCGAATGAACTTTAGCTCTAGGGACTTTTTGAGATCTAGATTTGAGGTACCTTTCTCCAGAGAGGATTTGTGTTGGTTTCCTTCAAGTGCTTGGGGATACTTTAAATTCTGGGCTTGAAGTTTTTGTTAATTCAGGAAGTGAGAATTATTTAGACTATAAAATCCCAAGTGGACTAGTTTGTAAATTCCCAGGGGAGATTTTTTTCCCCTCTGACTCAGAGCCAAGATTGAGATAGGGTAATTTTCTTGCTATTTCTCTTCTCAGGGTGGGTATTTTCTGGTATACTCTTTCACTGAAAGTGGAGTCCTCAGGGGGATTCCAGTCCAGCTGCTCTTTTTGCACAAGCCCTAGGCTTTGTCTCCTGTCCCCTGAGAAACCATTAAGATAGAAGCTCTGTCACTGGGGATTAGCAGATGCCTCTGAGCAGCCACCAACTTCAGCCTTATGTTTTTGGATTCGTGCTTTTGCTTTCTATATTTATAGAGCTGGTGTTTTGTAGTGGAATATTTGTCAGGGTATCTTGTCTATTATATTGCTGGAAATGGAAGTCTGGTTCTTTGTTGGGTATTTGTGTCCCCATACCCCCTCACTGTAAATTCCATGAGAGTAGAAGCTTGGTCTGTCTTGTCACTGCTCATTTTCCCAGCAGCTAGCCTTGTGCCTGGCACATAGAAAGTGATCAACAAATATTTATTGACTGTATGAAGGTGGAAAGAAGGTTAGGAATTCCCAGAAAGGCAAAAAAGGAAAAATTGAGGTAAGGACTGAAAACTGGCCATTGTATTTGGCAATTAGGTGGTTTTGAAAATAATCTCATCACTTAACAAGGGCAAAAGCTGATTTCACTGGGTTAAAGAGTAAATAATTGAAAAATTGTTTTTGAAGAAATTAGAGCGTGATGAGAAAGCAGAGAGT